CATTTGATGATGCTGGGTGATCTATTTCAGTGAAATGTATTGATTTTCTGAAAGGTCTGGTTTTTGAAATGCTCTTACACTGTGTTTTYACATACATTTGATCATAACTTAATCACTATATCTATAAGCTGCTGCACATCCTGCTGATGTAGCTTAAAGAGCCATACAGAGCTGTGAAAAAGGTTCAAGAGATCTTTCTGGAGTAAAGAAGGAATTTAAGTTTTTTTAAAAGCTAAATTCCTCAGGATTTATGTCAGCTTGTTGCCTATATACTGTTGACACCTGATCTAAAGTATCTGTTGACTTCATATTTAAGGGTTTATGCCACTGAATTATTGAGCTCAGTAGGTCAAATAGTGCATATGTCGAAGATTTAAACATTTTTTCACAGCTGAAGGAAAAAGCACAAGAAAGAGCAGCTTAATGTCTGTTTAAAAACTGTTAAAGCTGCAGAAATTCCTGAATTATAAAATGGCAAACGTGGCTGCTTGCTATGCTTGGTGTGCACCTAAGGGAAGCTGTGTGATGGAAAACTTCCCACGAGAAAGGGAAGGGAGACAGCCTGAGCAGAGAACACAGAGAACAGCAGTGATGGTTGTGGTGTGAAAGATGATTACAGCAACTGCTAATGCACTCTGTGYTTAATGGATATTGGAATGGAAATGTCTCACATTGGTTCTCCAGACCATGGCACTCAGAAGCACTGCTGAGTACCTCCCTTTTCGTGGAGTTTATCTCATTATTTATTTTACTTTTGAAAATAGGCTTTATATTTTGCTGCTTAAAGAAATTAAAGAGTGTAATAAGAAGCTGGGGTTGAACAGCAGCGGCTTCCTCTGCTGAACAAAGTGCTGKGGAAACTGGGGATTGGACAAACCTCCTGAGCAAAAGCAGTAGGTAGATYAGTTTTTAAAAGGCTGACAGTGAACACTCCATATCATTAAATAATGTCTTAATTATTTGCTGTAAGACTTTATTTCAGTTCTCAGCTTATGGCATAATAAACAAGACATGTGGACATTCATGCTCTACTCATCCCTGAGGATTAGGATGTAAACCACAGGAATTTATTTATTTTATTTGCATTTTTAATCTGCATTGGCTCCTATTGTTAGTACTCAGGTTTGTTTGGGTTTTTTTGTGGTTTTTGGGTTGTTTTTGTTTGTTTGTTTGTTTGTTTTCTGGTGCCTTTAACACATCACACTTGATACATTGTGGATCCCTCCATAGTTCATCAGCACAGCACAGCCCCAGGTGAATTGGGACGAGCTTGCTGAGTCAGCTACAAAGGGAGACARCAATCCTGTCTGGCAGCAGCACGGAGTTATCTTGGCTTTAGGTGGGAATGGCCTAACATTTGTCATGTGTTGTTTATTCTCCTGTCCTCTGCTGTTTGAGGAGATGCACTTGGGGCTGCCTGGATCGGAGTTTTTGTTGTTGYTGTCACTGTGTATTTATGGATTTGGGTTGCACTTTGTGGGGAAGGTGCAGAGGTTTATGCAGTGATCTTGGAGATGTATCTTCTGCAAGGAGAAGGTTTTGTCACAACAACGTRCCCAAATTCTGGAGAAACACAGACCTCTCATTGTTATGAGACCAAATTCAGGTGTTGGGACAAACACCCTTTGCTTTTTCACTGGGAACATGACCCAGTCGGGAGAGGCCACTGAGTTCCACACACAGGCACCTCGGGGTGATGCTTAAAGATGGAACTGGTTTGGCAGATACTTTGTGGGAAGCAGATCAGTCCTCAGTACCAAACTGACAAAGGATTCAGAGCATAAGGTRAGAGTGAAACTCCTCCTGAAGCAGCAGGAATGGTTTAGGTTGACAGCACAAAACAAGATAAAGATCACGTTATCTTCTGGGTCAGCTGCCTGTGTAGTCCCTGTCAGGACTGTTTGTGACATTTATGCATACTGCACAATTTAGGATTGCATCACTTTTTTTTNTTTTTTTTTTTTTGGCTTTTTTTCCTTAACCTTGCTGTTCAGGATAAACTGTAGCAAAATGGGATAGCATTTTGATTGCTGTAATCAGACCTACCACACTTAAATGTTTTGAAGTGTTTTTCATCTCCTAATTTTCAGCTATCAGTAGCATTTATGACCCACTTTGCTTCCTCTTGAAATCACAGCTTCTGAAACACAGCACCAGAAGAGGTTGTCAGCAGCCTTTTCAACTCTGAACTCCTGTTTCTCAGCMCCTCAATAATATTTTTGTCTCTGGATCCCAGGAAGCTGTTTTGGGTCATTGACTGCTCTTTGCTCGTTCCTGATTATGCTCCAATTTCAAGGGTAACATTAAAAAAAGCCCTAGAAAATTGGGCTGATTCCCTCTTTAGTTTAATGAGCTCTAACTACTCATAGCCTTTGAAAAACCTAGCCTAAACTATTAATTTTTTATCTCTTCCTTTATTTTATCAATACATTTAATTAAACTGACCACAAAACAACCCAAAAATTTGAGTACAAAAGATATTGGATTTTTTGACTGATATGAATGTGCTAATTAGCCTTCAATTCAGCCATGTTAAAAAAATGAAGTCTTTAGTACACATCTCTCCTGCTTTTCATTAAAAGTAAAGAATTAGAAAAGTACCATATGTCAAAGAATAAATAATAAAGCTTTCAGTATACTGAGCCAATATTGGTAAATCTTACTAATATGCTGTTTATAAAAAACAATATAATGCTGACATTCTAATGAGATTTTACACTGTTGAATCTCCCTCTAGTTCTGAGAAGGCAATTGATACTCTTTTTTTAACACAATTTAAATTGTTTCTTTTATGTTGTATAGTTCTGCACTGTTTCTTTCCAAATTTTGCTTTTGTAGGTCTCCTTTCTCCTTGTTTCTTATTGAAGGGCCGAGGATCATTTGAGTCAAACCCATTAACATTCTCATGATTTTCAATCAAGACCTTTGCAAAATGCCCAGTTCCACAATGGCTTTAATGGAAAATATAGATTGCTTCATATTTGATTTAGACTTCACCCCTTTGCTAGTTTGCTTTTTTCCCCCTCAGGTTATCAAGCTTTGCATGATTTTTCTCTGTCTTTTCTTAGTGTATGCATGTATTTGGACATTTGCTCTGTCTCTAATTATTTCTGCRCTGCACTGAAACCCATTAATGTTATTTCTGGTCATTGCAGCTGATATTCTGAAAATGAAAACATTCGGTGGGAAATCCAGTGTCTGCTGGAGTTAAGGAAAAATTTCTCTTGAGTGAACATTTTTCCTATCCATTTGGRCATGCAGGTCTGAATATAATTAATAATTAGATCCTGGTTTGTCTCCAGCCCATCTTTATTAGAAATATTGATAATCTTTAATGGAAACAGTAACTGTAGTTAAACTATGAGAGTGCACAATACATGTAAGTATTGCAAGTGCAGCATGGTTTGGTTGGGGAAGGTGGGTTTTTAATGCACAAGAGGTAATTTCTGTTGCTGTCTCTTCCAGGAGCTTCACTGGCTGAAAGGAAGGATGCACACACTACAGAGGCAGGGAAAGGGCTGAATGGACAGGATTTTCCTTCTGAAGCAATGCTGTTCTTCAGGGCTGCAGGTGGAAGGAAATGTTATTCTTTTGGAATCATCTCAAAGCATCTGGAAAAGGGAAGGTAAAGCACTCAAGTTTTTTTCCAAGGCTTGTGCAGAATATGACAAATACATGAGGCTGCATCASTGAGGCCTTTGATAAAATGGAAACAATGCCATTTGTGTCACAGCTCTATTTCCAAGCAGCTCTACACAGTCATGGGTAGGGCTGGTGATGGGAGGGTCCAGTGATGTGTCACCTGTCAGGAGATGTTGGAATGCAGGATTTGTGTGTAATTTTTAGAAGTATGGTTTTGCTCACTAAAATGTGAGTAAATGAAATGTGAGAAGCCTCCCAGCTTCAGCAGGTCTGGTACACAGTTACACTGCTCAGCCTCCCTGCAGCCAAACACAGCATTTGCACATTACAGGAATTCCAAATAAGGGGGATAGCAGTTATTGTCTAACTGTGAGACAGTTAAAGAGGAAAAGAAGATAAAATCATCTAATATGGCTGTGGGGTCCCTTTTATTTTGCAGAAGGCTTCTTTTGTAGGCTCTCTTTGTGATTCTTTTGCTTCATTTCAGCCTCCTGTGTTTGTCAGTCTTAATTTTGGCCTGAGAACTTTCCTCAGTGCAAAGTTGATAAAGCTCAGAAGAATGGTAACTGGAGACAGTCTCAGTAGCAAAGTCCTCTTTCCATCACTTCCCAGTTTGTACTGGATGTCTTAAGAACACAATAGGCATTTTTATTTTATTTTTCTTTTCAGCCATACCATGTTTCAGAGACATGGCCACCTTGGCTTCTTGGGTTTTGAGCAATATGGGTTGTCAGTTTTGTTGATTTTTTTTATTTCCCCATGAAAAATCTGATGTCCCCAATGCATTYAGAGTGTACACAAGCCTTGATAAAAAAGAGCAGATTTGTTTATTGAAAACCATCCCCATGTTACTTCTGGTGGCAGGGAAAGTGTAAAAGCAGAAAAAATTATTCAAACCCCATGTGCCCTGACTGCAAAGTGAATTTTTAGGAATATAATGGAACATAATAAGCCAATAGACTTGCTAGATGGCATTTTGGGGTTTTGCTGGTTTATTGAATCATTTCCATTTAACCCTGTTTCCAAGACMCAGGTCTCTCCAGCTTCTTCAAAATGAGCATATGGGCAGTGTATGGATATTACAACTGTCTTAATATCCAGCTGCTGTTTGTGTGCCAGTGGGGAATGGCTGCATGGCTGGCTGGGGTACCCTGAGTGAACCTGCTGCTTACATTAAAATATTGCTGAATAATTGCAATCAATGGCCTTTTAATTCAGGCAGTTGCTGATCCTTGGCATAGATTGTTGAGAAGCTGGGATAACAGAGAAAGCAGATTGAATTAATGGAAGTATGGAAACTGTTTAAGGGGAGAAAAGTGAGCTCACTCTTTCTTCTCTGCCTTTGCAGATAGAGGATTGGGGTCACAAAAGCTCCATGTGGGTTTAACGTCCTTGAAAATGCCAGAAACAGAGTAATTGGATGGCTGGAACCACTGTGGATGCAGCTCTTCCCTCACTGCCCTTGGTAAATGCAATTCTTTTCACTCTGCATTCAAATGTAGCAGAGACTTTTCCCTTTCAGTGTGGATGGTTTCACCTCTGAGCCCGGCAGCAGCCCCAGCGCTGAGGTACAGATAATTGGAGCAAATCACTCCAAAGCCTCCTGAAAGCACTGCATTATGCATGCACCAGCTTTAAAAATGGCCAATTACAAAGACACCTCTTTTACAAAGTGCTTTTGTAGTGAGTAAAACAAAATGATTTCTTCAGGTTCCAGTGCAAAATGGGGGCTACAAAGCATGTGCATAGATTCCTGGAGATACAATACAAAGGGGATGATAATAATAACCTTTCTGTCACCAGAGAGCCTGCACAAAGATTCCATCAGCATTTTGCACAGTATGATAAAAAAATGTGCGAAATCCTCAGCATCAATGGAGGTTCAAAGTGAAACAGAATCAAGCAGAATAAGGTACCCATAAAGAAAAGAAATATCTAAATGATATTAAGGGAGGCAAGATAACTGAAAAAATTAACAGCACAATTGCATATAGAGTCTGCTTCTGCTAACAAAAGGCAATCTTTAGCACCCACTATCTCCATTCATTCTKGAGAGAAAAGACAGTTACATTCTGGATGAACAAAATAGGAAAAGCATGGGTTTACAATGGGAACTTTGAGTTAAGATACTTGAACTCTGAGCTCTCAATAACAAGAGAGGCTTCCTGTCTCTGCCAGCCTGCCATGAATGATGTGGACAGGCAGGAAGGGATTTCTGGAAAGACTCTCCCTTTAGGGAGCCTGGGATCCCAATGGAGGTGGCCCTGAGGGGTTTGGATTTGCTGAGACACTTCCCATCCGTAGGGGACAAACAGCACAGGCCCAAAGCCAACCCAGTCCAAAAGGTTGGTCAATGAACTCTGCCTTTACCCTAAAAAAAACCCAAAGGTTTTGTGTTGCTGGTGCTTCTCCATAGGAACCATATTTTGAGGACTTTGTACCATGGAAGCATCCTGCTTACTATCTGAGGCTGAAAACAGCTGAGGCAAAAGTATTTTGGGGGTGTTTTTTGCTTTTTTACCATTTACAGCTACATATTTGTCTTCAAAAGCAAAGGTCAGAGGGTTGTGCTCATGAGAAATATTTTAAAAATGTGTATCTCAGAGCTCCTGAGAAGCCAGAATAATAAAAAACAGACTTGCAGAAAAGGAGGTTAGGGAAGAAAAAAATAATGTATTTGTTTTTAGACTTGTTTTTATGATCCACATCCCTTATGTGCACCGAAGTATTAAATCAAGCAAATTAAACCTTTCCACAGTTCACCTTTGAGCACAGGGCAGAGGTAGAGACAGCTCTGGAGGTCACTGTGCTGCTGCAGCAGCCCAGCAAGAGCCAGTGTAATTTTGTTTAAATTCAGAACATGTTCTRGCAACACATGCCCATCTGCTAACCCTCTGGCTGAGAGTCAGGTCTGCAAAAGTAATATAAAGATGCAACTCCTCTTCCAGCCTGGTTTTTTTTCCCCCTCTTCTGATGCCTCTGAGAGCTTTTCAAAGTAAATTCTCTAACAATATGAGAAAATGGGTAATGAATGCAGGTGGGCAGAGAGGCAGGTTAAAATAAAGAGGGAAAAAGCCCATAATTTACTGTTGGAAATAGATGGGGAATGGATGGAGCTCTTGTGGAAAGGCCAGGATGTCACTGAGCTGGGGGTGGAAAGGCAGTGATGCTGATTATTTTATCAATATAGAGTTAGAGCCATTCAAATATTCTAATGGACCTTCAGATGTTTTTGGCAGTTCTGTGGCGTTTGCATCTGTCATGAAAAAAAAACCCCACTCATTCCTCAGAACTGGCCCACKTGCCAAAACCAGAGGCAGTCTCCTTCATTTATCCTTGTTTTGTGCCTGTTGGAACTGACATTACCACATGATTAATTAGTTGTGTCTTACACTGCCACCAAATTGRCTGAGTGTAAAATATTTCTGTGCAGTAATTGCCACAGCTTTYCTCAAAAAGGCTTTCCTGCATGTGATCTGGTGTGTAGGTGACCATAAGTAAAGAAAAAAGAACATTAATCCATTGTTATCAAAGAATATGAATACATTGTCATCAAAGAATATGAAGACATGGTTTTCATTGAGGGAAAACTTCCATGGGAAGCAGTAACAGTTCTGATCAATAATGGACAGAGAGAATGTGGGACAAAAACTGGCCAGACATCAGTACTGGGAAGTGAGAGAGGCAGAGAGAACACAGCAAAGGCCTTACAGATGCTGGACATGTGTGTGTTGCAAACTGAACCAGTGAAGGAAGAAACAAGTGTTGGTGTAAATATGCAGGGTTTGAATGTGAAGCAATCAGTTTTCAGTGAAAATTCAATAATCTCACCATGCAGCTTTCAGCAGGAATAGGTGTGCATACGAGCACAGCCTTGCATGGACTGAAACAGGAGGAACCAARAGGACTCTGCCTCTTTTAAGCATTGGGGATGCATTTTTTGATGTTGGAGAATAAGGAATTTTAAAGTATCATTATGATTAAATGAATGGAAGCAGTATGGTGGGGCTTTAATTTGCAGCTTAATTTTAAAAATGAAACAACAAATAGGGAGCTACAGAGGCGGGGAGGTTGTTTGTAGSTTTTTGTTTGCTTTAGAAAGGGTATTTTCTTCCCCGCAGCTTGGCCACAGATGGGTCTCATGGGATTTGCTTTCCAACATAAGGGAGATACTCAGCCTTTCAGATTTCATTACCACTTTCTTCATTATTGTGCCTTGAGGAGCTATAAATAACACATGGCTAATTTGTGAATATGGCACGTTCCAGGGGATGTGTGTATTTTAATCAGGGCACCTTCTGACATTTGGTAATTGGTTTACAGATTTGTTATATAATTTCATGAGCATTAAGTTGCTAAGAGGAAAAAAATCTAAATTTATGTGRTCTAAAATCTGCCCTCGTTGGACCCTTACAGCAGCTGTGCTCCTTCCAGGTCCAACTGAGGACAGATTTTAAGTCAACAAACATGTAGATGGCATCTACTTTTGCATTTCTTACTACTTTAGTAAAGTAGTAGTTATGTTCTCCAGGACGTTCTTCTTTTAATTAAAACTCTTCTCTGTGTGTATGTGTGTGTATCACTAAGCAGCTTTACAGATGCAGGTAGATTTTTCCTGGTGAGAAATCAGGTTTTGTATTGGAAGGTGCATGTTTGTTCCTGGGGAATTTTTGGGCACTTTTGTTGGAACGATCACRTGCCACTGGCATAGCTGTGTCTGTGCTCTGACAACATCTGCAAGTAGATGCTCATGTATTCCCTTTATTAGCTCAGCATTCCAAATCAGGCTCAAGGGATGARAAGCATTAGAGCATCCCAGAGATGCTTCTCCAGCTTCTTTTGAGATGCACGCCCCATGTTTTCGCTTCCAAAGTGATCTCTAACATTATTTACATGCACATTGTTCTACAATCCCCATCACCTCTGGACTTGAATCCTGGTATGTGAACAATGAAAAATGTGGCCAAGAAACTGCAGCAAAGTCCAGAGGCTCTTGGGAAGCTGCACAGGGATGTGTGGGCACTGGGGAATWGAACCCTCCGTGTTGTGAGCTGTGGATAATGGATGAAATCAGACAGTTGGGGGGGTAAGAAGATCAGGCTGGATCTGGAATTCTGAGGACTTCTGTGCTCGTGTTRAATTTTTCAAGTTCTACTTAACCTATGCAATATTAGCATTTTTAGAACTGATGCTGTGTAAAACAAAAGCATGGTAGTAGTCCACCAAAACCTTGCAATTTCTTCTTCCTAATTCAGCTCTGGTTTTGTTGCAGCAAGGATCCCATCAGCCCAAGCCCCAGCATTGGGTACAAAGGTGAGATGTGTCTGCCTGGCCAAATGTCCGAGCTGTCCGTGCATGGCTCCAGCTGCCCCAGCTGCTGAGGGGCACAGCCACCTGTGGCTTGTTTTGGCATTAAAGATGCCAAGCATTGCCATAGATGTTGCCATCTGTCAGTGCAGCCTGGATTGAGGCARCTCTGGCTGTAGGAAGCTGCCTCAGACCAGGCAAGGTACCAAAAGCTTTSCCTTTCCTTCCCAGAGCTTCACCTCTGCTGGCACACTGAAAAACCCTCCGAGGTTCCAGGTGCCGTGGAGCTTGGATTTGCCTTCTGCAGAGTGCTGCTGGAATTTTGGGATGTTTTACATCAGTGTATCCATCRCTCAGCCACTGAGCCAGCAGGAGTGGTGAGGGTGCCTGGAATACTCGTGTTGCTGCAGGGACAAGGACATGGAAGAGGCTCTCTCATTCTCACAAGGTGAGTGACTGTGGTGCAGTGCAGTATTACCCAGGAAAAGTCACCAGCTCATGTTGGTACGGGGAGATTCTTGAATGTGTCTGGCACCTGTGGCTTGGTATAAATGGAGAGGGGTATTTGTGCAGGGTCTGATGGGGTAACAGCTCTCCCATAGAGCCAAGCTCCTGGCTTCCCCTGTTGAATTCTGGAGCCAGTCCCTTGGACAGAAGTGTGGTCCAGCCCTGCCAGCACTCTGTGAGGCCATCAGCTCTCCCATATCCTGGCACATGTGGGCACRTGGGCCTCTTCCCAGAGGGTATTTGCCCTGTGCCAGGCAGCGCAGGGATTCACTCAGGCTCCCCATGGAGTGATTCTCTCCTTCAGCCAGTGCTTCATCTGCTGTGCAGTCAGGCCTTTTTGGAGTGCTTGGTTCTGCTCGCTGTGCTGTGGCTGGTTTTTTAATCAGTCCAAAGAAAATCCACTTGAAACATCACTGTTTTTTTTGAGGAAAAAGCAGTATTGGTAACAATGCTTTGCAAACAGTTTTTGTCACTTTTTATCATCTTTGAAGCTATCCAGGCAGTGACTGATGGGTTATACTAGGCTGGCTTCAGCAATACTGTAACTTGAAATATTGTGATTTTCTTTTTTTTAAACTGCATATGGCCATAAAATAGAGACTTTCCCATACAGCAGATTAAGGAAGATCTTTGATGCTTTCATTCAAAGAACAGCTCTTCCAGAAGGTGAGCATTAACAAGATGGTTGTGTCACATTTTTATGGCAAGGTTGTGACTGAGCAGATCATTAGAGAGAAAGGGATCAAAGCCACTCTTCCCCGTGTTACATTTCAGGTGGACGTGAGTGTGTCACTGGCACAAAAGCTCAAGCAGCAAACTTCACAGGAGGAGAAGCTCACTCCTCCTGCCTTTCTATCCTTTGCAATTTCCTTCCAGTGAGTCACAAACTTCGGGAGTTTCAAAGGAGTTGTAATTTAATCCAACTGCTAGGGCTGATATAGCTCTGGTGAGAGGCTCAGACATCAGAAGAGATGTTGGCCCTCCTTCATTACCAGTGAGCAAGATCCAAATACCACAATTAAGTGTTCAATTATTTCTAACTTTCCAGTAATCACCCTGGTCTGGAATTGCCTTTGTTTTTCCGTAAAGATTACTTCTCTAATAAAAAACAAGAAATAATTGACTAAGTAAGCACAGAACAAACATTTTTATCCAGTGTGGTAAACCAGAAAATTTTTATTTGTAAGTTTTACTAAAATATATTCGTCATTTATTTAATTCCAAATTTTTCATTTAATTAAAAATTCTGAAGTTTCCCAAATCAGAAAGCTGATATAACATGTAAACCTCCTGTGTTCTGTGTCCACTGGTAGGACATTGTGGGCTTTTTTCATGGATACAAACACATAACCCAGAGCCCGAGGGCACAGGGAGCTGTTAGACCCTGATCCTAAGGCTTGTATCCAAAGTGTTTCTCAAACTTTTTACAGATACTCCAACACATTTGAAGCATTTGACAGAAAAGAATAGGCAAGGGCAACAATGATTGATCCATGTTTTTAAGAAAAAAATTGAAGCCATATTTTCACCAGGGGCTTCAGACGGACATTGATGTATTTATGGAGAAAGAGCCCACGAGCGCCAGCCTTTGCATCACTGAAAATGTAGCCTGCTGCAAGAATTTACAGCTGTAATGGAAGATTCATAGCTGCTCTCTTTATTTATTGGAAACATCTCTTGCAGCTGAGTAAAGACATAAATATGAAATTAAATCACAAAAACTACTTTGAAGCAGTGCTAAGGGTACATTTTAACCTATGGGCCAAGACAACTTAAAACTAATGTTGAAGCACAATTGAGATGAACAGTATTTACTGTCCATTATTCCACCACTTTACAGCTAATCTGTAAAATCACAGATTATTGGAGAGTATTTGCCATATTCTTATGTGCAATGCTTAACAGGAGGATTCAAGGGCAGCACTTTAGATGAAGGTGCATCCATGAGCTTCTGTCTTTGTGATTTGTAGTTTTCATGGCACTGTAAAATTATTTTTATAGTTTATTTTACCAGCACRTGGTAGGAGAGATCTTTATGTGCTTTTGAAAAACAACTTCATAAACAACAACAGGCTGTGATAGGAGTTCTTGGAGTGCATAGATATGGGRCTGAATGCCACTATTAGGTTAATGTTGTCCTTTTAGGTCACTGCAGGTATTTTAAGTGGCCACACTCCAYGGGCCAGGGAGTGCCAGAGAGCAGAGCAGTCAGGAGAGAGGGGACAAAACACACCCCATCCCCAGGAGCAATTAGTATTTAATGTCTTATTTTGGCTAATGATGAGCTGTGGTTCCTACACAGCGAGTTTTCATCTCTACATCTTGTAGCTCCTTATCTCAATTTTGCAGGTTGCAAAACTGATTAATTACACTAGCAGCATTAGTATAATTAGTGCTGATTATTCTCCGAGCTTTTTCTCCTTTAATCATCTGTTTAATTGGAACTAAATCCCTATTTATCAAATAGTGTAGGTTTTAGCATCCGAAGACAGTGGATGTTGTTTAAGTCTTTCCACCTTGAACTCAGGCAYAGTTATAAAAGCTTTGGGAATATCTCTGTGGGATTTTACTGATTATAACCATGGCATTCATGGCATTTTTTTAATATCTGGTCATTTGTCAAATGTTTTGGTATCTAGGGAAAAGAGGTGAAGGATAACATACTGGAGACTCTTATAAATGACCTGCCATATTTACACTTACTCCAAAGCACAATCTGTGTCAARTGATGAGGGAGGATACTTTGTTGATCAACCTGGAGAAGTTTGAATTGTGTTTAATCAGGAGCTGTCAGGATAAAAGAAAATCCATGGAAGCAATATGKGATTGTTTTTCAAAACATAGATGCAGCAAAATCTGTAGAAATAAGGACTGTTCCATAGTTGTACATGGTGTGCTCTCACTGTGGTTGTGTTGATGTCTCACACTGTTGTTGTGCAGTGACAGGAGAAAGATAAAATAAGTGAAACACAGCAGTGGTGGAATGGTGTAAGAAAGGGAGGCAATACTACTGCACCTCGAATCTTTCAGTGGCTCAGGAGCTGATAGTTCATACTCATTCATTCAGCTCCTGCTGGGGCTTCCTTGCTTCTCTCCACTCTCCTGCCCTCACAAACTGCTGCAAAAATATTTACTAATGATGATGAATAGGGCTTTGCTGTTTTAAGGGTCTTTCTGTTTCGCCCAATATGAAAATCTTTCTCTTTGTGTCATTCTCTTATGCTTGGAAGTCAGTAGAATTTTCTGTAATTCACAAGTTTTACACCTGACATGAACAAATACCTGCCCAGTTATCTGCAACCCACACCCTGYCAAGCATTCCTCACTGCTGTAGCCATAAGGCCTTTCAGAACTTCAATTACAAAGTGTAATTTTGCCCATTAGGGTCTTCTTTATCATTTTGGTAGCTGCATCACCTCTTTTCTAAGTGAAAAGGAGCACAAGGGAAAGAAGTCACCTCTTGGTCACATCCACCCTCCTGCTTAGGTAAGGGCCTTGCTGCAGGTCTTTATTTGGAGCATGAAGTGTTTGGGCTGTGGCAGGAACCTCAGTGTAAATTGCATGCTTAAGTTATTTCACTATTCTACCACTAAAGATGTGATTAATCTTTCCTCTGTGTGGGGAAAAAAAAATATATGGTGATTCATCTCCTTGATTTTAACATATGCTGTTGATGGCTTAATGTAATTAAGCATTAATTACTTAATGTAATGTTGTTATTAATGTAAAATGGTGAAGTTTGGTTTCAGTGATGTTATTGAGTAGAGGGTGGTGMATTATTTGTAATATTTGATTCACTGCAGATTTAGCATGGATTAATTTTTATGAGAGGAGAAATACTTCCCCRGTGAACAAGTTTATAGTGACAAAGGAGTGCTCATTTCCTAGTCATGATCTTGTGCTCTTTTCTTTCCTATTTTCCATGCCTGTAAAACTTCATTCTTTGGTGTAAGTGCAAACTAAAGACMCAAGCTGTGATTCTGTCCCACTGCAACCCTGGTTCTGAAGTTTGAGTTCTGTTTTCAGGCTGATGGTCTCTCATCAGGTCACTGCAGAGAAAACAGAAAACAGTGTCATGGGAAAACAAACAGGAGATGGTTCACGTGTTGCTTTTTTTTTTTTTCCTCCTGACCTTCCAAACTTATGATGCTGGTATATTTTAAAGGACAAACTGCAAGGAGGCACCTCAAATTACATCATATATTCTATTAGCCTTTTATATAATTTTTCTAATATTTCTAACCTTTCCAACTGCAGTAAATTTTACCTGGGCTTTGTTGTGTTGGGGTTTTTTTTATTAGATTTTACGTAAAACCATATTAACTTCTTTAGTTCTATTTATTCCTGCTGCAAATGCCATTTCATGGTTACCTGTTSTACTCATTGCCACAGCTGGCAACATGTGAAACACAAGCAGTACTCTAAACCACCTCCATCCATACAGGTGGATTAAAATGCTGGAGGAAGARAGTATCATTTGTAGTAATCTGATTTTCTCACAGTTGCTGACACTTTGTAATTGAAGTTTTGAAAGGCCTTATGGCTACAGCAGCGAGGAATGCTTGGCAGGAKGTGGGTTGCAGATAACTGGGCAGGTATTTGTTCMTGTCAGGTRTAAAATGACACCAAACATGGAGAAAATGCAAAGCTGAGAGTGTTGAGCTGTGCTGGTGGCTCTGGGTGTGCTCTGTGCTGTGTGTGCACTGCACCCACACTGGGTACAGCAGAGACTGGCACTGTCACCCTGCACTGATCTCTGCTGGGGGTGGCACCTGAGTGGCAGCAAATAAAGGGGAACAGGGTGTTCTGGGCATCAGCTGTGAAATGGAAACACAGGYGGGAGAAAAAAGTGATATTAATCTGTCAGCCCAGGAAAGGCAGAAATAAGAAAACTATTGATTTTTTAAACATCATTAGAATCAGTAATGCATCACT